AAATCATATGTATAAAATTGGCAAAAATAGGTAAAAATTGTGCAGTGAAGAGAGTTTCATTTTCAGCGCTGATGATGGAGAGCATCGATGAAATGAATTTCTATGAGAGAACAAAGAGTTTCATTGGCTACAACCTTGGTAACATTCTGTACCCCAGGTATGGTCCTCATTTTTTCCAGTAAAAAGGAATTGAGGACTAAGTTAAGTGAATCCAGTATTTCGATATTTCAGGATGGTAGTCAATAAAGAGACAGCGATAATGAGACAGTATTGGGATCCCAATTCCCAGACATCATGGATCTAGCAAGCAAATGCCCGCTGGTGAGTGAAACATGAGCAAATATTCATTGGACCTCGCATAAATGTGTTTATGGCTGTTCTGTGGAGTATTCAGGACTTTTTTACGAATTCAGGTTATGGCCAACTCTAATGAACTGTACGAGTTCCCCAGACCAACACTCGCCAAAGTTGTGAACATTGGTGGACTTGGGAGTTGAACACAAGGATGGGAAGCCACTGAAAGAAGTAAGTCAAGCCACATCACCTAGGGCAGTGAAACTAATGGAAGTTATTGTAAATCCGTGCACCTTAACTGACTATCCAAAGGCGATGTTTCGTCTGAACGCTATTTTATGCACAAACTCCTCTGCTCTTTTTCGACGGCTCACAGATCAGACACATTGTCTACTGCACTAGTTAGAGCCATTTGACGTCACCGAGTAAGGGTAACAACATGCCAGTCTCCGACTTTCGTATTTTGGAAGCGAAACATTGCACGTCAGATTGAGCCGAAGTCGAAGATTGCTTGCATCGAAGGACAGGGTTAAGCGTCGCGTTCGCACCTACCGAAAAACTCACGACCCCCCCCCTCCATCATCAGCCTTAGACAATGTATATTAATACAATACATCATCACCCGATACGACTTCCCCTCTTTACCAGGGTCAACCGGGTCAACCGTGACGTTCGCACTTTTTCGAAAATTTTGCGACCCCCCTCCTTTAGCGAGTTCTTGCTCCCCCACCATGAGTATCAGGAGGCTCCCCC